TTATATACTTTTAAATATTTATTTAATTATAAACATTTGATAGAAAAAATGACCGTCAAATTATGAAATCAAATGAATAGTTCATATTTTAATTTTTTCTTGAGATTTTCTAATTTATCATTAATTATATGATTATCCGATCCGTTAACTTTTTCATTAAGTGCAGTTAATTCACCGTTAGTCTAATTCTAATATTAAAGTCTGATATAGAATTATAACTACAACATTAATCTAATCTACTATACTAATAAGAGGTCAAGAGAGTTATGCCTATAATGGGTAGAAAAAATGGCGGTCAAATTCTTTAATCAAATGAATGGCTCAGATTGATCAGATTTTAATTTTTCCTTAAGATTTCCTAATTTATCCTTAATGAATATGATTTTCCATTAACTTTTCCGTTAAATATTATCTTTTCCGTTAATTTCGGTTAGTTCACCGTTAACTTACTCATTGAATTCAATAAGAAAGGTCTTAGGTTCGAACCCCATCCCAATCAAAGTTGGCATAATTATAATTTAGTAGCTACAACAAAAATAATACATATGCATTTCTTTAATTTAGAATTATGTGTCTACAATATCTTTATTTAAAAAAAAAATAGTTCATTATCAATAAATTAAATAAGAAAAATAATTCCGTTAGTTATATTGTATTTATTTTTCTCCAATATAAAAATTATTTACATTCAAATTTAGCGATTGATTATATTCGCTACATTGTCCCTACAATGTCTTTATTAAAAAAAATTATTCATTATCAATAAATTAGTTAAGAGAAATAATTTTATTAGTTATATTGTCTTTATATTTCTCCAATGTACAAATTCATCAATTGATTATATTCACTACATTGTCTATTATCTTTTTTTGTGCACTATTTATATCAAAGTTATAATACAAAATAGTGCTATATATTTATTTACCAAGTATTTTATTAATACGATGAAAAAATAAAAAATATATAATAATAATAATTGTTTTAGAAAAATAAAGAAATAAAAAAAATATAATTAAACCAATCATATTAACTACTTTGGGGATTTATTGACAAAAAGAGTATTCAAATCACACAACAAATTGAAGTGGAAACTATCTCGCAATGTCCTTGTTTGGCAATCAGGAGTTAGCTCTTCAATACTAGTATATATTTAATATTTTATGCCCTAATTTTTATTTTCTCTCCTTATGTCCCGTATTTGGTTTCAACCATACCTATAGAATTATTTCATTACTATATTATCTTGCATTTGTAAACTTAGAATTGGCTATTTAAATACACAAATTTAACATTTAATTATCTATGCATGAACAATTCCAATATAATCTTGCCTTGATATACTTTAAAGTACTTATTTAAAAAAAAATATTGGACATTATCCCAATCGCGCAATGCGCGTAAAAAACTAGTTCTAATATAAAAGTCTTAATAGAACTCTAACCACAAATCCTACTACCGGAATCTCCTCACACAATATTAGTATATATTGAATATTTTATACTTTAATTTTTATTTGCTCTCCCTTATGTCCCGTATTTGGTTTCAACCATACTCATACAATTATTTTATTGACAAATTATAATCAATCTTGACTATATTATCTTGCATTATTAAACTTAGAATTACCAATTTAAATACGCAAATTCAACATTTAATTATCTATGCAGGAACATTCTAATATAATCTTGCCTTAATATACTTTAAAATACTTATTTAAGAAAAATATTGAGCATTATCTCAATTGCACAATGCACGTAAAAAAATAGTACTATTATAAATTTCACACAATACGTACAAAATTTCAAACATAAATGGACCCACAAAGAAACTTATCATATTATTGAGTTTTATATAAATTTATTCTTATGACAAAAACTTGTGTGAGATCCATGAGATGAGTCAAGCTAAGTCAAAATGAAAATGTCATACTTATATTAAAAAATGTATTGTTAACCACTTAGTATCAATATGAAAAAATGAATTTTTTTTTTTTTAAAATGTAATATAATTTAAAAGTATTACATATTTTCTCATACGTATTACATTTTCTCTGTAACAAACACTTTATTAATGACTAACATTATATTTATCAACATAAGTATTTTTTTTTTTATATTGATCCGATCCAACCCGTCTCATATATAAGAATCCATGAGACGGTCACCCTATTATTATATTAAATATCAAACACATACATAGGACAAAGCACAATTAATATAAAATGAAAATTGCTTTCATATCGATATTTAAATTGAAAACATATGGTCATTCAAAATGTCTAGGGATGGCAATTTTCCCCGTCCGATCTCTACTCGGTAGGGATGGGGAAACTTTTCGAGAAACAAGGAATGTATGTAATTCCCGGCCAGACGGGATACCTCTCCTCAGCTCGCCCCGCCTGTCACCGAATAGTTATTATAATTAAAAATACACATAATTGTATGAATAAATACACATAATTGTATAAACAAACACACATAACTGCATAAAAAATACACATAATTGTATGAACAAATACACATAATGATATAAACAAATACACATAATCACGATGACTCACTTCCGCGCCTCCCAAAACGAATTCGTTTTGGGAGGTGCAGGGCGCACAATGCTGCGCGCGCCGTGGTGCAGGGTATAACGATTGCTATATTTTCAATCGGTATGCTATGGACCCGTGTCCAGCATGCAGGTAACAGTGCCGTTAGTGGCACTGTTATCTTCCACTTTTTATTTTATTTTTATTTTTATTTATTTTTTTATTTTTTATAATTTCAGACCGCTTCGTTATAGGAGTATATGTTCATAATTTTATTACTATATGTTCATAATTGTATATTCATAATGTCAGAGCTCTATGTTCATAATTCAATAACTGTACATTCATACTTCCATAACTGTACATTCATAATTCCGTAACTGTACATTCATAATTCAATAACTGTAACTTCATAATTTTCGAAGCTCTATGTTCACAATTTTAGCGCTCTATGTTCATAATTTTATCACTCTATGTTCATATTGTAAGTTCATAATGTCAGAGCTCTGTGTTCATAATTGCATAATTGTACATTCATAATTGCATAACTGTACATTCATAATTCTGTAACTGTGCATTCATAATTTAATAACTGTAAAATCATAATTTTCGAAGTTCCATGTTCACAATTTTAGAGCTCTATGTTCATAATTTTATTCCTATATGTTCATAATTGTAAGTTCATAATGTTAGAGCTCTGTGTTCATAATTTTATAACTTACATTCATAATTTCATAGCTGTACATTCATAATTCCATAACTGTACATTTATAATCCCAGAATTGTACATTCATAATGGCACAAACGAATAACGACATTAACGCCGTTAACAGCGAGACAAAAAAAAAATTTAACTAGAATGACGCGTTTTTTCCTAAAAACGACGTCGTTTTAGACTCGTGTCCACAATGCATTGTGGACACGGGTCCAGGGCATAATTTGCCCTATATTTTGCTTCCGCCCATAATGGGCCAAATGTTGGTCTGTAATTCAGAATCATATAGTCCAATATTGATATTGCTACGACCCAAAAATACAAGAAAATAAAAAATAAGGTGGGAAGTATTTATAAAATAAAGTGTTTTTTAAAAATAAAAAATAAGGTGGGAAGTATTTATAAAATAAAGTTTTTTTTTTTTTTTTTTTTTTTTTTTTTTTTTTTTTTTTTTTTTTTTTTTAATCTTATCTAAAAACATAATAAGTCTCTATCAAGATTATATCTTTGATTTATATCTCTCTTTTTGTATGCTAATACATTTTACTTTAAATATTGTACACTTCAATGTTATTAGACAAAATTGTCCTTACTACATTCTTATTAGACAAAATTACTCTTACACCGTTACTTTTTAATTCTAACATTGATAACTCCGTCATTATTACCATACATCTATATCTATCATATTTTTTTTCTATTCTTTAATTATCATTTTATTAAATCATTATATAATTAATTTAATAATTTATTATATTTTAATTAAATTTCTATGAATGGTAAATCATATATATATATATATATATATATATATATATATATATATATATATATATATATATATATATATATATATATATATATATCACTACTGGAAATTTTAAAATTTCCGACCACCTGAAAATGATCTTAAATTAAGTTGATACCAAAAAGTCCAAAAAGTGGTCGGAAATAGCAACAAAGGTTTTTCCGGATACCAAAAGTGGTCGGAACAAGACTTTCAACTTGATTTATGATCACTTTCAGGTGGTCGGAAATTTCAGAATTTCCAGTAGTGTATATATATATATATATATATATATATATATATATATATATATATATATATTATTTGTGTATATATAATTCAAATTATAATTTTTAAATATTTGTATTAATATTGGCAAAACATCTGGCTTTTATAAATAAGATTAGTTTAGTTTAATGCGAACTATGATCACGGTTCGGTTCGAACCGGAACTGAACCGAAACCGGCCGTACGGTTCCGGTTCCGGTTAAAGTTTGTAAAATATTAGAATCGGAACCAGCGGTTCCGGTTTCAAACTGAAAAAAATTAAATATTATAGTGTTTTTTTTTAATAATTCCGGTTCTGACCGAACCCTGAACCGAAACTTTACTATAAGGTTCCCATTCCGGTTTCGCCATTCACGGAACCGGAACCGGAACCGTGATCACCCCTACTCCAAATGTAGTTCCCAGGACACTGAGCAGCCAATTCAACTGCCAACAGTTCCGGCGCAATACTCTCGTCGATCGATCTCTATCTTTCAACAAGCAGGCCATCAACGTCATTTATCATAGTTTCGATATTATCATGAATCTTAGCCATCCATTGTATATCCTGATTTAATGCGAGCGACTGATTCTGTATCCAACGTTGCAAGACAACAGTCTTGAATTGTATATACATATATAGAGAGAGACTGAGAGAGAGAGAGAGAGAGCAAACTAAAGCAAAGCAAGAAGAAACCATCAGTCAATCCGTATCTCTGCTCCCTGAAACAATGGCGGCAACCTTCTCAACCATGAGTTTTAAGCTCTTCATAGAAAAGAAGACAAAAAGAGTTATTTTCGCCGAAACCGACAAGCCTTTTGTCGATTTATTGTTCCACCTGATGTCTTTGCCGCTCGGGACCGTTACCAAACTAGTGAGCCAGAGTTGCATGGTCGGCTCCCTCGGAAATCTCTACGAAAGCATAGAAAACATAAGCCAAACATACCTCCAACACAACTTAAACAGAGATGTCATTTTGAACCCAGAAGTTGCGGCTCACTCTTTCAATATTGCGCCACTTCTCTTTGCCGCCGGTGAAACTTCCGATGCCAAGAAGTTTTACTTTTGTACTGGCTCAGGCTGCCACGGGTATAGTGGCCGCCGGTACATCTCCGACGACCCAAAATCTATTTGTCCTCACTGCAAGTCCAACATTAGTGGCGACTAGGGATGTTAACCCTGAATCAATTGGTTGGCCTAATAAGTCTTAAAAATTGTAGGGTTAAAATCCAAAAAGATCAATCCAATAAAAAAGTAAGTTCATTGGGTTGGCTCTATTGGGTTATGGCAAATTATGCCCTGGACCCGTGTCCACACTGAATTGTGGACACGGGCGCAAAACTTCGTCGTTTTAAAAAAAAAAAAAACGCCTCATTTAGTTAAAAAAAAAAAATTTACGTGCGTTTTGCCGTTAACGATGATAGGCATATTTTAGACTCATATTTTAGGTACATTTTTATAATAATTTTGCATTACTTATTTAATATTATATAATAATTAGTTCTTTTTATATAATATATATATATATATATATATATATATATATATATATATATATATATATATATATATTATATAAGAATACATTCTAATACACATATATATTACGTACTAGTGAATATGTATATGCATTATAAATTTAATAAATTAAATAAATTTAATCTACTTAGCATGCATGCAAACAAATTAAAACTTTACTTTATATTTTTGTTTCTCTTCCTTGCAGTACACTTGGCGCAGCAGCATTAGCGAGAAAAATATATTCTCAAAACAACAATTGGACAGCAGCGGAAAGCCTTCGTGCAGTGGACCAAGTCTTGCGACAAGAACGAGCGCAACGGAACTTCATCGGCGCAATAATAGGAATTCAACGGTGGAAATTGATTTGTAAATAATTTAAGATTAGTATAAATAGTAAAAGAATTTCATTTGTTTAACGTTCATTCTTCCCTCCTCTATAGTATTCGTTGAAGTTGTTATCAATGTCCATTTGTGGCTAATTTCTAGTTGGTTTAGTGAATTGAAGCCCCGGAGTTCATAACGCTGTAAGGTTATTTATTTAACTTTATTATATATATATGTTTTATGCATTTTGAGTATTAAATATTCTTCTAAATTATTTGAATAGTTGTATCATTTAATTGCTAGGGAGGCCTACTAGTTATTTATTTGATATAATTATTTGCTATATTAGATAATGTTGTGCTACAAATTATTCTAATATTCAGTAGCAACTGAGGTTAATTATTGACGGCTTAGTGATAATTGGTCTCGTGTAGAATATTTTCCTAAATTAAATGCAACCGCTTGTGCTTGTGTTATTTAGTTTGTCGGTTTTCCTAGTTCCTATTGCTGCTACTAAATTAAATCTATAGCGCTTGTCTTAGATTATTTAGTAGTTAGGGGTAATTAAACCGCTTGTGCTTTATTTACCTACAACTAAGGGAAAACAGAAATGAAATAATTTCACGACAAATATTCAATTGCATATTAATTACTTTATTAATCAATGATCAGTGTTGAATTCCGGTGGTGGATCTTTACTAACCAAGGTCTCCTATTATAAGTGTTTTCGATATATTATTTTCATTGCTTTATTCGTTCAATTAAATTTCTTGTTTATTTAAATTCTCTTTTATTTTATCTTTATTCTCGATATATTCCAAACCCCCCTACCTTTAATTTGAGCACAAAAGTTAAACTAGTTACTCCTCGTGGGATCGATCCTTACCCCCGCTACTACGTTTGTAAGGTTTTAATTTGGAAGCCTACGACAGCTCACCAAATTTTAAATTCCCCCACACTAAAACGTTTGCTTGTCCCCAAGCAAAAAATTTTATTTGCGAAGTAAAAAGAAATGAAATTCCCAAAATTCATAACATATCATGAACAACAATCTGAAGCACCCTGCAATTAATAAGTTAGCACCCATGTCTGAAAATTGAGAGAACTAAATAAGTAAGCCCTCACAGGAATATCACTCATCATTCAAGTGTTTGATGGGTATAAATTTCACTCAAGTTCATTCCTATAAAATTGCTCTACCATAGGCTTGCATATCTTCTCAATCACCACTACAAGAGTCATGCATGACACAAATCATAAGGACTTCCCACAGGTTGTAATGGGGCTAGGGTTAAGGTAGGGAATATTTTGGAAAGTAGCTTAAACAAAAGCTTCAAACTAGAGGAGCAAAATATATGCAAATAATCCAAGATACTTGCTCAACACCCCTCAATTTTTCACTCAAAACATTTCCGATTGAGGCTCCAACATGCCTATCATTCTCAAAAGTATAGAATGCTTCCTCAGTATTATAAGAACTTCCCCTTGCTTCATTTATTTAGGAGTAGCTTCAACTCAAAACTAATTTCTGATTCTTTCTCATTTTTCTCATAAATTTTCAGCAATATTTTTCTTTTTCAAACATATATTCTCCATTTTTCCATTTTCATTTTTTTCAATTTTTCAATTTTTCATGTTTTTTTTTTTCATAGAAGACCAACGACATATTGGCAACGAAGATACAACTCACCTCACTCTCAATCATACTAACAAAAGTAAGTGATCTCCCCCACACTAATCCTTCCCAACCTCACGTAGATTACAAAAATAATCCAAAATTTGCTCCACTAGTTATTCAGCTGGGTGAAGGCATTATTTTAGATATAAAAGGCTTGTAATGTGATTCAAAATAAAGAAAGGAATGGCCATAAAGCTCAAAGTGGTTAACAAAGGGAAATAAATCATAGGACAAACCAGTTATTTGGCTAGTGAGGCTCAAAGTCAAATAATGGCCTTAATCACATTTGAATCATGCATGGTCTAATTAGCTTTAAAAGAGAGTCAAGGCAAGTTCTAGAGAAACAAAATTATGGAAGAAATCGCACAATAGAAAGAAAATAAGACCGAAGTGTCAGTCAATAGCTCAAAACACTCACAGGTTTATTGCTTACTTAATATAGCCACTGCATATCAAACAAGAAATGCTAACAAACTAATCACAACTTGCCAAACTATTTATTCAATCATGTTATGCATTCCAAGAAAGAAAAAAATTATTATTTTCAAAATAATACTTATTTAGCATAAAATACTAAGAAAATATTTGTGAAAAATTTTGAAAATTTTGACATATGCAAACAAATAATAAAACTAAATTCCCTCCCCCACACTTATTACCAACATTGTCCCCAATGTTGAATAAAAAATGCACAGAAAAAGGAAATAAAATAAAATAAAATAAAAATGGAACAAACACACCTTAGGTTGCCTCCCAAGCAGCGCCTTTGTTTATCGTCGTTGGCTCGACTTCTGATATTTCTTTAAATTTCCATCGTCTTTTTGAGTACCTTCGACGATTACGATTATTCAAAGAAATAGCCCCTTCATGCAGATTAGGACTCAAAGATGATTTATTATTTGGTTCTTCTTTATTTTCAATAGAAGCAATTGCATTAAATTTAACAAGTTTCAAGGAATCAACAAAAATTGCAAAATTATCATCACTAGGAGATCTCATGGTATCATAAATATTAAAGTTCACAAATTTACCATTAGACTCCATAGTAAGCATACCACTATGAATATCAATTTTTGTTTTTGCAGTTTTTAAGAATGGCCTTCCTAACAAAATATGATTAATTTTATTATTATTTTCCATATCAAGCACATAAAAATCAGCAGGAAAAACCAAATTATTAACTTCAACAAGCAAATCCTCAACCACACCCCTAGGATATGTAGTAGATCCATCAGCCAATTGAATTACTATAGTAGATTTGCTCAGGGGTCCAAGATTTAATGATTTATAAACAGAATATGGCATCACATTAATAGAAGCTCCTAAATCTAACATATCATTTTCAAGTTTCACACCACTTATCATGCACGGAATAGTAAACATACCTGGATCTTTGCACTTTTCAGGAAGATTGCGTTGACTAGCCATAGAGACAGTCTCGTGCACTTTCACTTCATCAATTCCTTTATTTTGTTTATTTTTCAAAGTGCGTACCTCTTTTAGAAAATTTGCATAGCGAGGTACTTTTTCCATAGAATCTAAAAGTGGTTTATTAGCATCACATTCACGAAAGGTCTCATACAGATCATTATTTGAGTTTCCTCTTATTGGTTCTAAAAGAGCTTGATGAAATGGGGGTACTGGTTCATAATCAGAAAAAGAAGAAAGCTTACCTTGGGACTTCTCTTTATTGTTGGCAATGATTCCTGCACTTATTTCCTTATTCAAATCAACATTCTTTTCCAGCGACATACTTTCAACATTAATTGCACTTACATTCTCTTTAGGATTAACAACTGTTTGAGAGGGTAGCTTGCCAGAACTCTGTGCTTCCAACCGACTAACCGTAGTTGCAAGTCGGCCCATTTGTCTTTCCAAGTTTTGAATACTAGCCTTTGTGTCTTGAATACTAGCTCTTGTCTCTTGTTGGAATAGTTGTGTTTCTTGTTGAAACTGCAAAGTGTTAGTAGCAAGAGATTTAAAAATATCTTCTAGATTCATACCTGAGCTAGAGCTTTGGACTGGTTGTTGGCTGGAAGGAAATTGTTGTCTATACTGTTGAAAGTTGGAACGATTCTGAACAAACTGGTTCCCTTGTGAGTTCCCATAGCTAAGGTTTGGGTGATCCCTCCATCCAGGATTATATGTATTGGAAAACGGATCATACTTACCTTGAGGTTGTCCAGGAAAACCTCCAGCCATGTTGACTTGTTCAATAGGTTATTCTTGAAGAGTTGGGCAGGCATCAGTTTGATGCCCAACTACCGAGCAAATTCCACATGCTTTTACAGTTTGCATATTGCCTACTGCTAATTGACGGACAAGAGTAGTTAAACCAGAAATTTGTTGTTCAAGAGCAGAAATATTTACCTCATTCACATGCTTAGACGGTTGGACTATTCTATTGCCAAACTGTTGAGAATTTGCAGCCATGTTCGCAATTAGAGTTCTTGCAGCGTCTGGTGTCTTGTCAACTAAAGCACCACCACTTCCAGCATCAATCATGCTTCTATCCATTGGAAAAAGTCCTTCATAAAAGTACTGAATGAGTAATTGCTCACTAATTTGATGGTGTGGGCAGCTTACACAAAGCATTTTGAAACGCTCCCAATATTCATATAATGACTCTCCATTGTTTTGCCTTATACCACAGATCTCCTTTGTAATGTTGGCCGCCCTTGAAGCTGGGAAATATTTTTCAAGGAATAGTGTCTTTAAGTTATTCCATGTGGTGATGCTTCCGGAGGGTAAATAATATAGCCAATCCTTCGCTGAATCTTTCAAAGAAAATGGGAAGGCTCTCAACTTGATTTGTTCTTCAGTAACCCCTGTGGGTTTCATACTTGAACACACCACGTGGAATTCCTTCAAGTGCTTGTGAGGGTCTTCACCTGCAAGTCCATGAAAAGAAGGCAAAAGATGAATTAATCCAGATTTCAGTTCGAATTGTACATTAGCATCCAGAGCAGGGAAAGTGATGCATAAAGGTTGCTGATCCAAATTTGGAGCTCCAAGCTCTTTTAAAGTCCGATTTTGAGCCATGGGTTCCTCTTCTAAATCAGAATTGGTAGAATCGGTAGAATCGGTAGCTAGATCACTAAACTCCAATTTTCTCAAAGCTTGTTTCTTCCACCTGCGTATAGTTCTTTCAATTTCCGGATAGTACAGCAAGAGTTCTTGATTAGCAGATCGAGTTATAGGCATAAACAAAAAGAAAATATATTTTGATTTGCAATTATGTAAAAGTAATGAAAGAAAAGAAAATTATTATTTTTATTTTCGTTTGGGACAAATTGAAAAACAAATAAACAAATAACAAAATAAATAATTAAATAAATAAACAAACACAAAATAAGCTAGAAAATCTCCCCGGCAACGGCGCCAAAATTTGGTGAGCTGTCGTAGGCTTCCAAATTAAAACCTTACAAACGTAGTAGCGGGGGTAAGGATCGATCCCACGAGGAGTAACTAGTTTAACTTTTGTGCTCAAATTAAAGGTAGGGGGGTTTGGAATATATCGAGAATAAAGATAAAATAAAAGATAATTTAAATAAAAAAGAAATTTAATTGAACGAATAAAGCAATGAAAATAATATATCGAAAACACTTATAATAGGAGACCTTGGTTAGTAAAGATCCACCACCGGAATTCAACACTGATCATTGATTAATAAAGTAATTAATATGCAATTGAATATTTGTCGTGAAATTATTTCATTTCTGTTTTCCCTTAGTTGTAGGTAAATAAAGCACAAGCGGTTTAATTACCCCTAACTACTAAATAATCTAAGACAAGCGCTATAGATTTAATTTAGTAGCAGCAATAGGAACTAGGAAAACCGACAAACTAAACAACACAAGCACAAGCGGTTGCATTTAATTTAGGAAAATATTCTACACGAGACCAATTATCACTAAGCCGTCAATAATTAACCTCAGTTGCTACTGAATATTAGAATAATTTGTAGCACAACATTATCTAATATAGCAAATAATTATATCAAATAAATAACTAGTAGGCCTCCCTAGCAATTAAATGATACAACTATTCAAATAATTTAGAAGAATATTTAATACTCAAAATGCATAAAAACATATATATAATAAAGTTAAATAAATAACCTTACAGCGTTATGAACTCCGGGGCTTCAATTCACTAAACCAACTAGAAATTAGCCACAAATGGACATTGATAACAACTTCAACGAATACTATAGAGGAGGGAAGAATGAACGTTAAACAAATGAAATTCTTTTACTATTTATACTAATCTTAAATTATTTACAAATCAATTTCCACCGTTGAATTCCTATTATTGCGCCGATGAAGTTCCGTTGCGCTCGTTCTTGTCGCAAGACTTGGTCCACTGCACGAAGGCTTTCCGCTGCTGTCCAATTGTTGTTTTGAGAATATATTTTTCTCGCTAATGCTGCTGCGCCAAGTGTACTGCAAGGAAGAGAAACAAAAATATAAAGTAAAGTTTTAATTTGTTTGCATGCATGCTAAGTAGATTAAATTTACTTAATTTATTAAATTTATAATGCATATACATATTCACTAGTACGTAATATATATGTGTATTATATATCATATATTGTTGGTCCCGATAGGGTGGTGAAAGTCTAGAGGGGGGGGGGGGGGTGAATAGACTTTCAAGCTTTTTCAATTTAAATAACTCTTCGGTAACTTCAACTCTAAGTAACAAGTAAATAGAGCAAGTATGTACTGCACAGCGGAATAATGAGTAAAGAGTTATGCCCAACTAGTAAATTAAATGTGCATGTATGAGATAAGTTAGGTACAAACGATATGTAAAGTGACAGAGATATCTTGAATATGTAGAGGAGATGGTTCACTCAATATATAATGACAATATTCAAGATTGTAAATAAATATCGTATCACGTCGAACGTGTGACGAATGTTACATGCAGCACGTCAAACTTGCTTAGAATAAATTAGTATTTAAGCTCGAGAAGTTTGAGTCACATGCATACGTGAGAACACACTAAACCCGGATGATAAAGATTAACTGTGAATAGTAAACGGGTTAGTCGGATGAGATAGATAGATATAGCAAATAAAGTAAGTGCGGTATGTAAATGAGAGAGACAATTTATAGTGGTTCGGAAGTGGCGTAATCTTCCTAGTCCACTTTTCTCCTTTCACGTCTAGGAGAAATTCACTATTTTTCCACACACAGTTACAATAGTGAACAAGTGCTACACAGGCACTTCTTCCGGATGTCTTGCACACAGCTACACCCAACTCCGAGTGTCTCGCACACAGCTACACTCAACTCCGAGTATTTCGCACACAGCTATACTCAATTCCAACTAAGTGTCTTGCACACAGCTACACTTAGCAACTACGAGTGTTTTGCACACAGCTACACTCACTAGAGTATTTTGCACACAGCTATACTCTTTCTACAATTTACAAATACAAGGATTTGTATTTCTCTCTCCAACTAGATTTTGAGACTATTCAGACTAAGTCTCTTTGAATATTTGAGCACTAGCACTTTTTCGTGTGTATTACACTTCTATCTCGTTCTCATCTATCTCTGCACTCTCTTCTGCTTCAAGTCTTCATGGCTTTTTATAGGCAACCAAATATATCCGTTGGAGTGGGATAATTTGATATTTGAATTTTGAATCTTCATAGCCTGATATTGTTGACAGTAGTAGATCTTCAATTTTGATTTGATTTGTCAACTTGTTTGACAAAGTAATTATTTTTAGCACAACTTTGATTTTCTAGTTGTTTCTAAAAATATTACTTTAATTGTCAATTTGAATATCCAACGAATCTTTGAAATAAATTCATCTGATAGAATTTATTTCTAGGATAAGTTTTTATATTCATGCCTTCATAAATATTTTTCCGTTCTGATCAAATGTCTTTCAGGCAATTTTGGAGTCTTGTGGCATGTGGGTGGTCTTGGAGTAAATTCCTTCGAATTTATCCAATTTCTGACAACATTGTGCTTTTTAGCATTGTGCTCCTTCGGACACATTGTGCTCCTTAGCTGCATTGTGCTCCTTTCAGATTTGTTCACATTGTGCTCCTTTGGCAGACATCGTGCTCCTTTGGACGCATCGTGCTCTTTTAGTAGACATCGTGCTCCTTAGCACACATCGTGCTCTTTTGAACACATCATGCTCCTTTTGCACATTATGCTCTTTTAAAACACACTGAGCTCCTTTTTGAATACATTGTGCTCCTTCGAAAATCTGCTTTATAAAAATATAGGTCCTTGAGGGGAATCGATCTCGGGTGTGATCGTTTAGAGTAAGGACCTCTACCATTTCGCCGTTAGGCTCATCCGGTTATTCCTTGCAACGCCATTGCTTTATGCTTCTTTCACGGATGAATACTCGTAGGACCAAAATTAATTTCTCAAATTAATTTTGTTCTTCCTATGGTAGATTCCTTCTGATTTCAATATTCTGATTTATGATGCTTGTACTAAAGACCTAAAGACCAAGGGGATCTAAAGATACATTTGGCTCATCAAAACTTACAAAAATATTCCTATCAATTTTCCCCCTTTTTGATGACGCCAAAACCTATACTCAGTCATTTGGCTTGTCTTTTAAAACAATTATTTTTCAAAAGATTTTATTTCCATTGACATAGCCAAGATGAGTTTAACAAATGATTTTGACTCTAGGAAAGGTATTTTTAGCCACTATATTCCTATTTCGCATTTTTGGAATTTTAATGATAATGAATTTTTGCATTTTTCCAATTCATGCGATTTGATACACTCTAAGCTAAAAATGTTACCTTTCAAGACAAATAATAAAATTAAGAAATAACTTAATAGCATCATAAACAGATAATTCAAATCATTCCAAATTGTTTCATGGGTTCATGTACCCGTGGACCACAGAAATATTGTAACAATTTTACAGATCATCTAATCACTTTGTTTCTCTTTTCTTTGAGCACATTGTTAATATGGTTCTGAACATCAACGAAATTGTCACTAATGGCATAATTGTTGCATACCAGCCCAACTGAATAATAGTTGAATGGTTCGATGATGTTGTTTCCGGGCAGTATACCTTCTTCATACCATATGATGCATTCTTCTAGGCTTCTTCCATTTTGTAGCTCGGCATCATTGACTTTGATGTAATCCCTTAGAACCATGATCATCAAGGCTCTAGCATAGCTTTGAATTCTTCTGAAATTCTCACTTGAAACCCACATGTTTTGATCACTAGGACCACTTTTCTTCATTCCTTTTGGTAGATCATTCAAAGTCACCAACTTTGGCATTTCAACTCTACCATCTCTCGGTGTGGATTCCAAATAAAGAGCTGCACGGTTGTACCAATTTATTTGCTCAATGTTTCCCCCTGCACACACAATATCACGAAAAGAACGGTTAGTGGTATTTGCACTGCTTGATCCTCCTGGACTGCCAGCTTCACCACCACCGAACCAATACTCCAATCCTCCTTTTCTTGGTGCATTTCTTCCAGCAGATCTGCCTCCTCCGCCTCTACTGCTGCTTGTGCCAACATTTCTGCTAGCCATGGCAGTCATCATCATCTCAATCATGCTCTCCAAATGACTGAATCTCTCTTCCCCCTTTTTGGCGTAATCAAGAAGTGTATGAACCGATTCACGAAGAGATGAAATGGATTCGGAAATATTCTCATAAGATCCCCGAAGACAGCCCACTTTGGTGTTAACTGAGATGAGATCCGTGTGGACATCACTAATCTGCTTTTCATGTTGATGAACAACATTAAGAATACCTTGGCTTTGGTTCACGGCAATTGCTTCATTTGCCTTTCCAGAATTCTTGAGGATTTGTGAAAGTTGAATACAGAACTCATTGAGTTGCCCTTTGACATTGTTATTCAAACTTCCAACTTGTCTTTCAAGTGCTTGGTGGGTATCAATCAAATGTTGTTGACTTCTCCGATTTTCATCAAAAGATGCTTCGAATTTTCCACCTTGAATATTGACAACTTGATCCACATGAGTGTAGATCCCTTGAAACATGTTCTCCATTCGGTCAACAAGGCTTAAGACAACTTTCTCCAGATTTTCTAACTTCTCATTTGTAGGTGTGCCATCAAGTTCTTGCTCTTCTCGGGATGAGGGAAAACACCTTGCTCCTTCTTGAGCAAAATCGGCTTCAAGCATGTGAGATTGAGCTTGATTTTCCACTATATTTCCTTCCCTTTCCGGAGTAAGTAACACGTGAGTGTCACCATGGGCACTTTCTGCATTAATAGATTGAATTTCCTCCGTATGTTGACTAGCTTGCATGGCATTTTGGTCTTGACTTATTTCAGTGAGATTTAACACACTCACATCATATAAGCCACTATCCATCAAGTGTACACCATACGTGACATTTTCTTCAACATCCCTTGTCACGAATTCGGCCATATCAACTAAGAAATCTTCTTCAGTAGGCAAATCACCTTGAACAGTGCAGTCAACAGTACTTTCGGCCAATTTGGCTTTCAATTTGTTCACAAATGCTCCATTTACCGTGGACAACAAGGTTGCATGGCAAACATCAAAATTGCCAATCCAATTTAGTGAAAATAATTCTTCTTCATGCATACTTGATCCCTTATTCATCAACTCATCATAAGGACCAAGTCTCCATTTTCTCCAACTTAGGACTCTACGGTATTCATTCACTAATACACAGTCTAATCCTTCAACTTGATGAATCTCCTCATTCATCAGTGTTTCCAATTCGGCAATTTGGGAAAAAGAATTTAATAGACTTTGGCTTGCATTTGGGTTAAGACATGTGGTAGGATTTTGGCTTGATGTAGGGTTTAGGCTTGAGGTAGGGTTATGACATGTGTTTGGATTTTGGCTTGATGTAGGGTTTTCATGGGATTGAGAGGGTAGACCAAGAATTTCTGAAACTGGTCTCTTTCTAGCTGGGATACCTCTCGGCTTTCTTTTTCTTTTGGAATTTAGATCACTCATCACTTCATGATCTTTAAACAAGATTCTATTACTCCCAAAAGGCTTCTTTGACCTCATAGTCAACCCTTTTCCTTTGATAATCTAACCAATGAGCAAACCGAACCCTAATATACGGTTGAACTTCCCATTCCTTATTTTTGCACCTTTCACAAAGTGAGCAATTCGGCTCAAGACAAGCTTACTCCAATCACCCCTAACCACATTCATGATAGCATGTACATAACCAATTCTTACAGGTGAAATATCTTCCATGCTATTTAATTTGCACAATACACATTTGTAGAGAATTTTAACAAGCATTTCATACTCCAACTTCAACTCAGATTTTTGACCGGAAAGATTTGGTTCGAGAGAGGCATTCTCATTCCGAATTTCTGTCCAAATTTCCGTATGATCATATAGGTGAACATCTAAGTCCAACAGTGGTTGTTCTGGACTAGATATGGGCAGTCCAAAGGTTGTGTGTAACTCGTGTTCATCAATGGTGATGAGAGTTCCATTCACGGTGGACTCAATGGTCCATCCAACAACCTTGGCATTCATATAAAACTCTGCTACATCTTCATCATAAAATCCAGAATAGAAGTAAGAACATAACCTCATTAGATTGCTTTGTTGAAGTGCATTGATGATTCTTTGTGCAAGAGGAGAGTTCTCGGCTTCTTTGAGGAATCCTTGAGGGTCAAAACTTCCTCCGGCCTTGATTCCCACTGCTAGCTTTGTAAGGTTGAGTTGTGTGGTGTGTTCTTCATTCGGTTGTGAGCTTGTATCTCCAATAGTGGCCATAATGCAATTGATTTTTAGGAGATTTGAGGAATTGAGAGATTTTTGGAGAAGAAGAGGTTTGTTTCGGCTATGGAAGATGAATAGCTTTTGAAAATATGAGTGTAATTGTGCCTTCCAACCGATTGGGTAGAAAAGAGGTGTCTTTACACAAATATCCTCACATTTAAGTGTTGACTTTTAATAAGTGTGGGGTATTTTTGAATTTTCAATAGCTTCCAACCTTTGACCTAACTGATAGTTAGTTTAGGTTATATATTCTCCATCCAATTTGTCTGCTGATGTGGCGCCAAAAATTTAGATACCCGGACTGATTTTACCTGAAATAAAATTCAAAGAGCACTAAATCTGTTCGAAAATAATATGTATGTATCTACACGTTTTTATGTAGATGGAAGAAAGAGAAATTTATTCTTTCTAGACTATTTATTATGCACAACTACCATAAAAAGGTGTTCTCATTTAAGACATTCTATCATCACACCATCTTATCACTCTTAAATGGTAAGATTTGGCATATCTAGATGATTTCTACTTGTACATATGTATGTAGATATACGGTTAGAAAGACATATAAGCATTATGTGCTTTATCACCATTTAATGGATATAGGTGGACATTAAAAAGATGTGACATTTTTGCATGTGTGACACATAGGCACGAAAATTTAAATCAGATGAAGTGTCTAAATATCAGATGAAAAATTGAGCTTATAATTAGAATAGAGTTTAGAAACTTAGCTCAATTCAATCATGCCCATTTCATGTCTCAATTTCGAAAATCTTGATTCACACAGAGGCTTTGTGAGAATATCAGCTAATTGATTCTCGGTCGGGATATATTCGATTGATAATTCCTTCTTTTCAACATGATCCCGGATAAAATGATGTCTCACATCAATGTGTTTTGTTCTTGAATGTAACACGGGATTATGTGTTATGGCAATAACACTTGTATTGTCACACAATATATTGACATTTTCACAATTCACGCCATAATCTTTCAGCTGTTGTTTCATCCAAAGAATTTGCGCACAACAACTTCCAGCAGCTATATATTCAGCTTCGGCTGTACTTGTAGCTATGGAGTTTTGCTTTTTGCTGAACCATGAAACCAACCTTCCCCCTAAGAACTGGCACGTTCCTGAGGTACTTTTGCGATCGATTTTACATCCTGCAAAATCTGCATCTGAGAAACCAGTTAGTGTAAAATTACCTTCTTTGGGATACCATAATCCAACGTTGACTGTTCCTTTTAAGTATCGGATGATTTTCTTGGTAGCAAGAAGATGACTTTCTTTTGGCTTTGACTGGAACCTAGCACATACTCCCACTGAATAAGATATATCTGGTCGACTTGCAGTGAGGTATAGTAACGATCCAATCATTCCTCGATATTTTGTTTCGTCAACATCCTTGCCTTCATCATCTTTATCTAATCGTAAAGATGTGCTCATGGGATCTTGATTGAGGATTTTCCATCTTGACCAAATTTCCTTATAAGATCCTTTGTGTACTTGGCCTGATTGATGAATATTCCTTCGCTGAGTTGCTTTACTTGTAGTCCAAGAAAGTAATTCAATTCTCCCATCATGCTCATCTCAAACTTATTCTGCATGAGCTTAGAAAATTTCTCACAAAGAATTTTATTAGTACTTCCAAAGATAATATCATCAACATAAATTTGTACCAATAAAATGTGATCATTTTCTTGAATTCTAAATAAGGTTTTATCAACAAGGCCTTTTGTGAAACCACAGTTAATTAGGAACGTTGATAGGGTGTCATACCAAGCTCTCGGTGCTTGTTTTAACCCATATAACGCCTTCTTTAATCTGTAGACCTTATTAATATCACCTTTTACCTCGAAACCGGGAGGTTGCTCAACGTAGACTTCCTCTTCAAGTAATCCGTTTAAAAATGCACTTTTCACGTCCATTTGATAGACAGTGAAATTCTTGAATGCGGCATAAGCTAGAAATATTCTGATGGCTTCTAGTCTTGCAACGGGTGCAAATGTTTCATCGAAATCTATGCCTTCTTCTTGTGAATATCCTTTTGCCACTAAACGTGCTTTATTTCGAATGACGATTCCATCTTCATTAGCTTTATTCCGAAAGACCCATTTTGTTCCAATTACGTTGTAATTTTCGGGTCTTGGAACTAATTCCCATACGTCATTTCTCTTAAACTGTTCAAGCTCTTCTTGCATTGCATTGATCCAATCTGGATCACTTAGTGCTTCTTCAATGCTTGTGGGCTCCACCTGAGAAAGAAAACAGGAGAATAAAGAATTTATACTTGAGGACCTTGTTTTTACTCCTTCTCGTGGATCTCCAATTACTAGCTCTGGAGGGTGATTTTTGAGCCATCTCAAGTCGGGTTGTAGGTTGCATGGGCTTTCCACGTTTCCTTGTTCAGTAGGTAAATTGGAGGTAGACACATTTTGCTCATCAGATTGATCTCCAATTTGTGTATTGACTTGAGAGTTTTGATTTTCAACGTGTGCATCTTCATTGGCTTCCACGTGTTCTTCACTATTGCAATCAATGTCCAATTGCTCCATACCCTGTACAATTTGATCTTTAAAAGATATGTCAGCATCATTAAATGATTTTTCAACTTGACAAATCTCCTGATCATTTTTGTTGCTTTGGGTTTCCTTTATATGAGCTTCATCAAATGTGACATGAATTGATTCTTCTACCACCATTGATTTCTTGTTCAATACTCTGAATGCTTTACTGGTAGATGAATATCCCAAAAATATTCCTTCATCTGCACGCTCATCAAAAGTCTTTAGATATGTTTTGCCATTATTAAGAATAAAACATTTGATACCAAAAGTATGGAAATAGTTGAGTTTAGGTTTTCTCCCTTTCCATAATTCGTACGGAGTCTTATTGTAAGACTTATGTATCAAGCTCCGATTTTGTGTGTAGCAAGCGGTGTTGATTGCTTCAGCCCAATATCTTTTAGGTAGCTCGGCTGACGTAATCATCACTCGTGCGGCTTCTTTTAGCGTTCTATTTCTTCTTTCGGCTACACCGTTTTGTTGAGGTGTACGTGCGACAGATAGTTGATGTAGAATTCCTTGGGAATTGCAGTAGGCTTCAATCACTTGATTCACGAACTCAGTTCCACGATCCGTTCGGATTTTTGCAATTTTCAAGTCTTTCTCATTTTGTAGTAGCTTCAGTAGCTCTGGCAACTTTTGCTCCACTTCATTTTTCTTTTTGAGAAATATTGTCCATGTGTACCTGGAAAAGTCATCAACAACAACTAGTGTATATTTCTTACCACTTAGACTTGCTGGGTCTACTGGACCAAATAGATCGATGTGTAGTAGACTTAGCGGTCTTGTTGTAGATTCTTGAGCTTTGGATTTGAAAGATGACTTGACTTGCTTTCCTCTTTGGCAAGCATCACATATTTGATCTTTCTTGTAGACAATGTCGGGTAGACCTTCAACTAATTTGTTTCTTGCTAGCTTGTTGATAGTCTTGAAGTTTAGATGATTCAACTTCTTGTGCCATTCCCAACTTGTTGCGTGTGAGTTGTTTGCTAGTAGACACACTGATTCTTTTGTTGTGTTCCAATCCACAACGTACATATTTTTCTTTCTTATTCCTTCGAGAACAACTTCTCCTGTGGAATTATTTTTCACTTGGCACTTCTCTTTGAAGAACTTTACTAGATATCCTTTGTCACAAAATTGACTTGTACTCAACAAGTTGAATTTTAGACCTTCAACAAAGGATACATCTTCGATTTTTAAACCATTTCGAAATATTGTACCGATTCCTTTTGTTATGCCGTATCGTTCATTTCCACCGAATACGACTTTTGGTCCTTCGATATTTTTAAGATTCACAAGACTTGATTTATTTCCAGTCATGTGTCTAGAACATCCACTATCGAAGTACCAAACTTCCTGCAAATGAATCAAACATTTTTAGGTACCCAACTTGACTTGGGTCCTTGGGTGTTAGTCATTTTTGGTACCCAAATCCACCTTGTACTCACTGATCTAAGTTTAGGTGATTGGTAACCATTAAACACATTATAATCATATTTAATTTTTGAAAACATTTTTTGTGTCGGTTTTTGAAAATTGACTCGATTTCTTGACACGTGGGATATAGATTGTTTGGGCCTGTGATAAGCATTAAATCTGGACTTAGTCCATGGTTTAATATTTCCAAACCAATCTTGTTTAGAGGGATAGAATCTCCCTGCCCCAATCCTCGGATTTCCCATTTTCCTATGAGGACTTTGTGCACTAAACTCATTGGTGTATTTCCATTCAGGAACAAACTTTTGTCTTTTAATGTACTGTTTGGACGAAATATTGTTTCTTTGAGGCTTTAGTCTAACAGTGCTAATTTTGACATCAGTTTGGTAACCAATTCCTTTCCTTGTCTCACTGTGCTTTCTTGACCTTTTACAAATTTTACTACTTGAACTTTATTACTTAAAGTAGTAGTAGAATTGGTCAATTTCTCGGAGGCTTGAGAACACGATGGATCATAACCAAGTCCGGTTTTATCACTTGAGGGTTTTTGCATATTTACCATTTTGTCCATTATTTTGGATGAATGCGTAAATGTTGCTATAACCTCTCTGAGATTGTGTTCTCTCACTTCCCTTGATTTACACTCTTCTTGAAGACAAATAATTTTATCTTTCAAGTCTTTTACTTCAAGTAGAGCATTTTGCAATTTTTCATTTAATTGATCCTTTTCAAGAATCAGATGATTATTGCGCTCTTTGAGTTGAGAGTGAGTGTCCATCACGGTTTGACATTCTTCCATTAAGTGAAAGAAGGACTCTCTAGAAAATGAAGAATTGACAGAGTCATAAGATTTAGATGTTACCTCATTTTCTTCATGTCCATTAGCCATAAGACACATGTCCT